TCTCTTGTTTATTTTGCTGTTCCAGGTGCCACTGTTGCAGATTTTCTTGCAACTGCTGTTGTCTCTCTTCTTGTTTATTTCCTCGTTCTTCTTTTTTTTTTTTGCTGGTCTTGTATTGCTGCCATCAAGTCTTCTAAGCTGTAGTTTGATTTTCCGCCTCTCGTTTCCATTTTTTTTATCGTTCCACTCTCTGACACCAATTTGTTACGTCTCCGTTTGTTAATTGATTTCCCGTAAATTCGTTCCGACTAAACTTTAGCGACACAAGTCCTTTCTTAATAAAACTGGTTTATTCTTTCTGAATATAACTTTACGATACACTTGATTCCAACATTCTCGCTAAAACAAACGCTATAACGAACTTCAACAATACGTCTCTGACTGCAAATCAATTACTCACTACGTACACACATTGTCACGTCACGCCACGCCGTGTCCATCTTATATATATCAGTCCACCCCAATATAGTAAATGCTAGAGCACTCCCGAAGGAACGGGATAGTTCTAGAAAGCAGGTGGCGTGACACTAGTCACGTGACCTCGCTGACGCAACAATATACAAGACTAACACATATCTAGTAAATGCTAGGGCATTTTTGAAGTGACAGGATATTTCTAGAAAGAAAGGCCCGGCATGGCCAGGTGGATAAGGCGCTCGACTCGCAATCTGAGGGTCGCGGGTTCGAATCCCCGTCCCACCAAACATGCTCGACCTTTCAGCCGTGGGGGCGTTATAATTTGACGATCAATCCCACTATTCGTTGGTAAAAAAGTAGCCCAAGAGTTGGCGGTGGGTGGTGATGACTAGTTGCCTTCCCTCTAGTCGTACACTGCTAAATTAGGGACGGCTAGCGCAGATAGCCCTCGTGTAGCTTTGCGCGAAATTCAAAAACAAAACAAACAATTTCTAGAAAGAGGTGGCGTGATACTAGTCACGTGACTTCGCTGACGCAACAATATGTTAAAAGTTTCTTCTTCTTTTTTTTACCAGATGGTTAAGTGAAAGGAACTCGTAACCCCATAGAAACTAAAAATAATTCACAAACAGTACAAAAACAAAACGTCACTTGGTAAGAGAAAGTAAAAGTAGATGGATGGCACAACAGTATGTTTTTGTTTTTTGAATTTCGCGCAAAGCTACACGAGGGCTATCTGCGCTAGCCGTTCCTAATTTAGCAGTGTAAGACAAGAGGGAAGGCAGCTAGTCATCACCACCCACCGCTAACTCTTGGGCTACTATTTTACCAACGAATAGTGGGATTGACCCTCACATTATAACGCCCCCACGGCTGAAAGGGCGATCATGTTTGGTGGGACTGGGATTCGAACCCGCGACTCTTAGATTGCGAGTCGAGCGCCCTAACCACCTGGTCATGCTGGGCCAATGGCACAACGGAATCAGGAAAGCTTAGCATTAGGATAACTGAAGCAGAGGGAAAATAATTGACATGGTCAAACGAAGCTCCTGGATAAATAAAATTGTGCTCAATCTTGAAAGAGATCTGACATAACCTATTTGTTAAGGAGTTTGATTCGCAATTATAGTTCGTAGGATCAAAACCCGTCACTGCACATGCTCGCCCTTTCATCTGTAATGGTTTATCCCACTATTCTTCAGTAAAGAATAATCTAAGAGTTAGCGGCTGGTGGTATTGACTAACTGCCTTCCCTCTAGTCTGTCACTTAAAAATTAGACAAGGCTTGCGCAAATAGGCTTCTAGTAGCTTTGCGGGAAATTCAACAAATAACAAACAAATTATTCGAAAGGTTTGGAGATAGTTTCCAGTCAGTGAAATACCCACCCCAACATAGTTAAGAGTGCCTTTCAAAATATTAAAAGCATTTTTTCAGACAAAGAACAGAAATATATCGTAGTATTCAATACCATCTCATACCTGTGACTGCGCATCTAGTCACTTTATGTATTGTTTAAAATTTCGTCTATTAGTTTTGTTACGTCTCCGTTTGTTAATTAACTTTCCGTAA